GGTTAATAGTTCACGAGAAAGAGTCATGTTGCTTTCGAGAAAATGTAACGGGAGACTTTCTCAGGTAGCTAAGAACAACAATTGTTGTGTAATTCGCGAAATGTTATTATTAAAGACAATTAAAGAGAATTTCTGCTATCTTACAACTATAAATAATCTCAAGGGAAAAAACAGTATATTTTATTGTTTTTATGCACTAAATACAAGTATCTGAATAGTTGAACAGTGTAGTTAATATATAATTGTGCAAAAGCAAACAATTTTTATGGTTTGATAATTAAGTATAATGGCATCTGAAAGCAATAATTTAATTTTAATGAATAATTATATAAACACTGACTTCCAAATAAATAAATTGTTAAATTCACGAGAAAACAGTTTTAAATAGAAAGGAGTTGAATGATTTAAATTACTAAATTTTTTTAGAATTCATTTAATTTCATATTCATAAGTTCAAAAAAATGACAAATTAATATTTTCATTTTCAAAAAACTGTTCAAGGTCATGATAATTTTTTATAAACATAGGAAGGACAAATCTAATATGTAAAGGAAAACAAGGATTATATTTTAAAAATTGTTAAAAAATTAAAGCATTTGAAATTAATATAAGAAATTTTATCACAAATATTATTAAAAGAGCATCAATGAAAATTTTAGATATGTTTTTTCACATTAAAAATTTAAAATTTAACACAATTTTTATATGAATCCAAATATATACAAGAAATATTTAAATTAATGTAAAAATTTTAGTTTTAATTAATTAATAATCAATAATGATTTAATTCTATTTCACATAATTAACCTGTCATGATACCATTTAGTCTAACAAGACTCTTGTTTGTTTCAGAATTCACTGAACCAATTAATCAGTTTATTCTGCAAAAATTTGGATTTATGTAAAAGTATATTTTGAAATAAATTTTAATTTTTAATTTAAAAATAATATCTAAAATTTTAATAGAGTCGTTCTCTTTTAATATTTGTGAGAAAATATTCTATATTAAATTCAAATGCTAGCTTTAGCTTCTAAGAATTTTTGGAATACAGTATAGTTCCTGTTATCCTTCAGATATTATACTTTTTTTATTCTACAAAAACAAAATGATTGCAAATAATATTGAATTATTATTTAATATTAAATAATTTAATATAACTTACTGTAGTTTTGAATTTCTAAAGATGAAATTAATAATTTCCAAACAAATTTAATAATGAAAATCTTTTAACTTTTATTCTAATAAATCACAAAGAAAATAATATATTTTAATTTAATTATCATTAATTTACATTAATATTAAAAATGTTTAAAATCAGTAGAAGTATCAAATTTTGTGCAAAACATGTCTTTAGGTTATTTTTTACATTCATTTTGATTTTAATTTAGCAATTAATATTCATTTAATTCATTTAAATTATTTTCAATTCATTTCAACAACAATTCATTTAAATTTTTAAAGGATTTGAACTTTCTTAATTAGCCTATTAAATAACATTTTTAATTATATTTTAACTATTTAAGAAGTAAATAATTTACAGATTAGTTTATTTTCACAATTTAATTATAATTGAACATAATTATATGAAGGGTTTGGGTGTAAAAGATAGTAAGCACCATAATTAAAGTTTAGAGAAAATGGAACAGTTAAACATTTGAAATTTTTCCTTAATCAGAACAAAGTGCATGTTATAGTTAAAAAGTACATATAATATTTAAATTGAAATACATTACTGTTTAGTTGTTAGTAAGGATGCATCGATAAGCAAAATGGCCAATTACCAATTAATTGGTCACACATTATCAGTCGATACTGATTAATCAGCTGATTAGTGTTAATAATTTATTGTGTTAATAGTTAATTATATTAATAATAGCCAAATTAGCCAAGTTTGTTTTAAAATAATTTTCAATCAGTGAAGTGTCTAAAATAAATATTTAGTTACATTTATTAAAAGTGTTTACAATAAATATTACTTTTTAAAATTAGCAAATAATGAAATATAAAAAATTGGTAAAACAAGTACTACATTTTTGTAGATGTTTCATGTATATAAAATGAATATACTGATATCTTGCTTAACAAAAAATATATTTAATATTTTTTTTAAAAGAATGAACACTGTTCTTTTTATAGAAAGTATCAATTTACCATTTAAAGTAGTTGATTGACCCTTTTCAAGAGCAGGATTTAGTAACTTATACAGTTTAGTTTAGTGCTACAAAATATGTTTTCTTTCAGCAGAAATAAATCAATATTTGCAATTACATTTTCACTTTATGGCATTGTATAAATTATAGATTTAATGTTTCTAAAATAAATTAATATTACACAAATATTCAATGATAAAAATTGAAATAACCAATACATTTTCACTTTTTATGAATTTTTAAAATACATTTTTCGTATTTGCTATATATGCTTTTTGCTTTTTTATTTTAATAATAGCTAGACCATTTATGAAAAAACTAATAACTTGATTCAGGTCTACTCAAAAAATTTATAGAAAACTGAATTATTATTTAACTTGATAAAAAAAAATTCTTTATACATTTGTTATACTCACATTATTTTCATCAGTTAAAATAATATTGAGAAAATAAACATTTTATAAGATGGAAAATATGTATATTCTGCTGTAAAACAATTTATTTTTAATTGGAAAAGAAAAAAGAAAGATTGTTACTTACTATATTCTTTTTAATATAGAAATTCAAATAAAATCATAATTCTGTAGTAAAATAATTTTAAAATATGAAAATATCTTTAAAAAAAGGATGATAATATATTAAATTAAAAATCCAAAATTGAACAAACTGCTCAGTTGAAGAAACAAAAGATATTTTATTTTGTTACAAATGTTTTGGCCATTATTCTGGAAATTTTCAGTTTACAAATGAATTGAATAACAGAGAAAATCAAAATTTAAAATAAAAGAATGTTAACCATAGAGCTTGTGATTTGTAGAAACAGGATGGCTAGAGTAAAGATCAAAAAGTTTGTAATTAAATAAATATTTTTTTATTTTCTTTAACTAAGCAGTCAGTTCAATTTTAGTTTCCAATATGATGCAACTCTTTGTCTATTTTCAATATTGACTTAAGTTTAATCAAACTTCTTTTATAATTTTCAAACAAGAGCATTACTTTTCAAATCCATTTTTTAATTTTAAGTAATTTAGTATGTCAGTTTGAAAACTAAAAAAATATTTTTTTTTGTAATTTGTGTAAATAATTAATCGCTATAATGAAGGAATATAATAAAATAATGAAGGAATTAAAAATAATTGAAAGCTGAAATATTAAAATGCTTAAAATTGGTTTTAAATATTTATTTTTATTTCTCTACTTTTATTTATTTCTAAACATATAAAATATATTTATTTAAAAAGTATATTTTATTTAATATTAAATTGTGCAAAGTATAGTTTAGTATAAAAGTTTAAGAAAGCATGTTCTTCCAAAATAGCATTTATTAATGATAGAAAAGTAATTTTGATAAAAGGTATTTTATATTGTTAAAATATTTACTAATATTTAAGTATTTTCAGTGCAACAAAAATATGCTTGATTAATATTTAAATATATTTATTTTATGAATTTTCAATTTTAATTATTGATTTAAGTAATGGATTGGATAAAAAAAAGCATTATTGCTAAGATCAAATAAACTTTTATCTACTTCAAAAGTTTTATGTAGTGCTTATCTTTTTATTCACTCTGTATTGAAAAGTTTAGCATTTACTTTATAAGTAATGTTTACTGAGATATAAAATAAATGGGAAAAATATCTTACNTATTCTGGAAATTTTCAGTTTACAAATGAATTGAATAACAGAGAAAATCAAAATTTAAAATAAAAGAATGTTAACCATAGAGCTTGTGATTTGTAGAAACAGGATGGCTAGAGTAAAGATCAAAAAGTTTGTAATTAAATAAATATTTTTTTATTTTCTTTAACTAAGCAGTCAGTTCAATTTTAGTTTCCAATATGATGCAACTCTTTGTCTATTTTCAATATTGACTTAAGTTTAATCAAACTTCTTTTATAATTTTCAAACAAGAGCATTACTTTTCAAATCCATTTTTTAATTTTAAGTAATTTAGTATGTCAGTTTGAAAACTAAAAAAATATTGTTTTTTGTAATTTGTGTAAATAATTAATCGCTATAATGAAGGAATATAATAAAATAATGAAGGAATTAAAAATAATTGAAAGCTGAAATATTAAAATGCTTAAAATTGGTTTTAAATATTTATTTTTATTTCTCTACTTTTATTTATTTCTAAACATATAAAATATATTTATTTAAAAAGTATATTTTATTTAATATTAAATTGTGCAAAGTATAGTTTAGTATAAAAGTTTAAGAAAGCATGTTCTTCCAAAATAGCATTTATTAATGATAGAAAAGTAATTTTGATAAAAGGTATTTTATATTGTTAAAATATTTACTAATATTTAAGTATTTTCAGTGCAACAAAAATATGCTTGATTAATATTTAAATATATTTATTTTATGAATTTTCAATTTTAATTATTGATTTAAGTAATGGATTGGATAAAAAAAAAGCATTATTGCTAAGATCAAATAAACTTTTATCTACTTCAAAAGTTTTATGTAGTGCTTATCTTTTTATTCACTCTGTATTGAAAAGTTTAGCATTTACTTTATAAGTAATGTTTACTGAGATATAAAATAAATGGAAAAAATATCTTACAAAAGGAAAAGAGAAATGGATATTATCAATATGTTTACCACAACTTCTGAATATCAACAGTTCATGTAACAAAAATATAGTTTGTGTAAATAAAGAAATGTTTTTAGAAAAAGATTATAATTTTTATAATTCTTTTTGAAGGTATTTATTTTAAATATTTGGATATTGTTTATTAAATTACTAAAAAATATAATTTTTAATTATATAAAAATAATAAATAAAATTCAAAAATTAAAAGTTGTTGCATATTTTAATTAGCTTATACATTTTCATTCCAGTTGAGTTTACTTATTGGAAACTTGCCTGTTTTGGAAGGACACTTTTTCTGTGCTTTTACTGCTTTAGGAAAAACTCTTGTAACAAATGCAACACGCTCATCAAATGGAGTGAATTGTGCTACTCCTCACACTGATTCTCTTCCTCCAATATCACAATTTAATTATAATTGAACATAATTATATGAAGGGTTTGGGTGTAAAAGATAGTAAGCACCATAATTAAAGTTTAGAGAAAATGGAACAGTTAAACATTTGAAATTTTTCCTTAATCAGAACAAAGTGCATGTTATAGTTAAAAAGTACATATAATATTTAAATTGAAATACATTACTGTTTAGTTGTTAGTAAGGATGCATCGATAAGCAAAATGGCCAATTACCAATTAATTGGTCACACATTATCAGTCGATACTGATTAATCAGCTGATTAGTGTTAATAATTTATTGTGTTAATAGTTAATTATATTAATAATAGCCAAATTAGCCAAGTTTGTTTTAAAATAATTTTCAATCAGTGAAGTGTCTAAAATAAATATTTAGTTACATTTATTAAAAGTGTTTACAATAAATATTACTTTTTAAAATTAGCAAATAATGAAATATAAAAAATTGGTAAAACAAGTACTACATTTTTGTAGATGTTTCATGTATATAAAATGAATATACTGATATCTTGCTTAACAAAAAATATATTTAATATTTTTTTTAAAAGAATGAACACTGTTCTTTTTATAGAAAGTATCAATTTACCATTTAAAGTAGTTGATTGACCCTTTTCAAGAGCAGGATTTAGTAACTTATACAGTTTAGTTTAGTGCTACAAAATATGTTTTCTTTCAGCAGAAATAAATCAATATTTGCAATTACATTTTCACTTTATGGCATTGTATAAATTATAGATTTAATGTTTCTAAAATAAATTAATATTACACAAATATTCAATGATAAAAATTGAAATAACCAATACATTTTCACTTTTTATGAATTTTTAAAATACATTTTTCGTATTTGCTATATATGCTTTTTGCTTTTTTATTTTAATAATAGCTAGACCATTTATGAAAAAACTAATAACTTGATTCAGGTCTACTCAAAAAATTTATAGAAAACTGAATTATTATTTAACTTGATAAAAAAAAATTCTTTATACATTTGTTATACTCACATTATTTTCATCAGTTAAAATAATATTGAGAAAATAAACATTTTATAAGATGGAAAATATGTATATTCTGCTGTAAAACAATTTATTTTTAATTGGAAAAGAAAAAAGAAAGATTGTTACTTACTATATTCTTTTTAATATAGAAATTCAAATAAAATCATAATTCTGTAGTAAAATAATTTTAAAATATGAAAATATCTTTAAAAAAAGGATGATAATATATTAAATTAAAAATCCAAAATTGAACAAACTGCTCAGTTGAAGAAACAAAAGATATTTTATTTTGTTACAAATGTTTTGGCCATTATTCTGGAAATTTTCAGTTTACAAATGAATTGAATAACAGAGAAAATCAAAATTTAAAATAAAAGAATGTTAACCATAGAGCTTGTGATTTGTAGAAACAGGATGGCTAGAGTAAAGATCAAAAAGTTTGTAATTAAATAAATATCTTTTTATTTTCTTTAACTAAGCAGTCAGTTCAATTTTAGTTTCCAATATGATGCAACTCTTTGTCTATTTTCAATATTGACTTAAGTTTAATCAAACTTCTTTTATAATTTTCAAACAAGAGCATTACTTTTCAAATCCATTTTTTAATTTTAAGTAATTTAGTATGTCAGTTTGAAAACTAAAAAAATATTGTTTTTTGTAATTTGTGTAAATAATTAATCGCTATAATGAAGGAATATAATAAAATAATGAAGGAATTAAAAATAATTGAAAGCTGAAATATTAAAATGCTTAAAATTGGTTTTAAATATTTATTTTTATTTCTCTACTTTTATTTATTTCTAAACATATAAAATATATTTATTTAAAAAGTATATTTTATTTAATATTAAATTGTGCAAAGTATAGTTTAGTATAAAAGTTTAAGAAAGCATGTTCTTCCAAAATAGCATTTATTAATGATAGAAAAGTAATTTTGATAAAAGGTATTTTATATTGTTAAAATATTTACTAATATTTAAGTATTTTCAGTGCAACAAAAATATGCTTGATTAATATTTAAATATATTTATTTTATGAATTTTCAATTTTAATTATTGATTTAAGTAATGGATTGGATAAAAAAAAGCATTATTGCTAAGATCAAATAAACTTTTATCTACTTCAAAAGTTTTATGTAGTGCTTATCTTTTTATTCACTCTGTATTGAAAAGTTTAGCATTTACTTTATAAGTAATGTTTACTGAGATATAAAATAAATGGGAAAAATATCTTACAAAAGGAAAAGAGAAATGGATATTATCAATATGTTTACCACAACTTCTGAATATCAACAGTTCATGTAACAAAAATATAGTTTGTGTAAATAAAGAAATGTTTTTAGAAAAAGATTATAATTTTTATAATTCTTTTTGAAGGTATTTATTTTAAATATTTGGATATTGTTTATTAAATTACTAAAAAATATAATTTTTAATTATATAAAAATAAGTTGT